AAAAATAGGAAAATATAGTTGACAAATAAAGTTTTTTATTTCATTAAACCATTTTAATTTATATCAATTCATGACTTTTGTACTAAAGCTAAGTCGAAATATCGAAAAAATATACACAGTATGTTTAGAGCTGAATCATGGCAAATGAGATAACTGAAGAAATAGAACAATGTGAACTTTGAAACAAAAATAATTATATTTTATCCTTTCGATAAAAATATAAATGATATAAAAAATAAATTGAAACTAATAATTAGAATATTACAATACAGAGTGTCCTACTATATGACAGGTTGTCAATTTTTTCGAAGACGAAAGCTCAAATATAAAAATTTTATTCTTTATTTTCGATTTGTTTTTTCACACTTTATATGATAAAAAAAAATACAAGAAAATTTAATAAAGATATTTTTATTTCTTTGTAATACATATTTAAAATTTTACATACCTTTCGTTGCAACAGACATAATGAAAGTAAATATTTTTCTATAATAAAGTACAATAAAAATCTTGATATATAAGTACTATAACGTCCCAAACAGTACCTCAGTGCATAATAATACTCATATACTACTGCTCGTTCGTAATACAGTAGATAAGTATACTATAATACAGGACTGAAGAAGTGGTAATTTGGTTATTTGTGCCACAGTTTCTAATCCCCTCCTGATTGATTCAACTAGTATGGTGGGAGTAAGATGTAAGGTGTGTATGAGGAGTGGTTAACGGTAGTGACACACCATACACAGCAGGGAGTAGTCTCATGGTAGGGGAACTGAGTGTCAAGCAGAAATGATGACAAAGGACCTGCTATAGTATATGATAGTACTTAAATTATAAATCATAGAAAATGGATGATTGCAATAACGTCGTAAGCAACTTTGTTGCCCATTACCATAAGTGCAATTTTTATTTTGGGGAGTTATTTAAAAAATTAGGTCTTAGAACATGCATGCACTTTTATTGTAATAAATAATTTTATAAATATCAGTAAAGTTTTTTAAATATCACATATTGAATTCGAACTTATAATTAGATATACAATAATTATTAATCATGTATTTTGATCTATCATTGCATGTGTTTTTTAGTTAGCGAAACGCATACAAATTGTTGAAAATTCAATTGTTTCCATAAATTTCTAAATATAATAATTTGTATAATTATTCATTACACAATTACATTTATAAAAACGGATGAAAACAACTTATCCTATAAATTGAAGTTGAACTATAATTAAATGTTTACAAGAAATACAATACTTTATTATGAGAAATATGAGGAATCATTTTATTTTATTCTTCAAATAATGGTATGCCACCAACTGCTTGATATGCGTTTTCTTCACACTTTTGAAATTAATAATTAATATTTACTATCTCCTTTACATATTATATATATTTTTACTTACTTCTTCAAAATGTTTGTACATTTCCTGTGCAATGTAAACTGATGAAAAACGAGCACACAAGGTGCGTTTTGTTGGTGGTGTCAGAGCATAATCAATGGCTGTCCAAATACATTTTTCTCCATTAAGCTTAATAAAATAAAAACTTAACATTAACCAAATTTGCATTGATTAATATACTATATAATATTACAATTTTTAGACTTTTACCTCTATTTTAGGTTTTGTACTAATAATCGTGTTGCTCACAATTTTATTAGTTTCATCTGCTTTTAATATTATTTTTTGATCAAAAATATTAGGATCAGAGTAAATAATTAAATTTCCTGATGCTACAGGTTCCCATTGGTTCTCATTACTTGCCCTTGTAAATAAAGTAGCTCTCTTTTCAAAAATAATAGAATTTTGATCATCATCATCATTATCATCTTCCTCTTTTTCTTCACATTCTTCTTCATCTACTTCTTCATTTTCCTCATCTTCTGGTTCTTCTATTACTGGACTATCTTCTGAATTTTGTTCTCCTGTATTTATATAGAAAACATAAATTTATATTTTAAATGTCTGCTTTAATCAACTTCAGTACATGCAAACAAAAAAGATGTAAGTTTACTTGTTATACAACTACCTTACAATTATCGAAAAATTACTTTACAAGATGAGGCAAATTTTAATTTTTATTATAATATATTATAATAATAGTATTTAATGTTTGTTAATTAAAATATACATTTATATAACTTACTTTATATCACTAATATAAATATTAAAAATTATAGAAAAATTAACAAAGGTCCATAATTATTAATGAATCTCTTTGTAATAATACATCGGCTTAGTAATAAAATTTTATGCATCATAAAATATAAAATAATTATTTTTTGTAGTTTTTGTTTCTTATTTCATAAGAAATATAAAAACTAAGCGTTTTAAATTTGGTTTAATAAAATAATTTTATAAATGTTTATACGATGAATTAATATCATTATTATATATCACGTTTAAAATCAAATTTGAAATCAAATATATTAATTAAGAAATATTTTTAGAACATAATTTAAAAAAAAAAAAAAAAAAAAAAAAAAAAAAAAAAA